GTTACCTCCTTTTGACTCTGCACGCATTAGCTTTGTCCGTCACTTTAAACTGGAGAGGACTTAGAGATGGGTGACTTAAGAAACCAGAAAGAACAAGATTTCTCACTCTCTCCTGAACCAGTCTTCCATTCAGATCTCAGGGTGCTTAGTGCTAGAGAGTCAATCAGCTCAGTGGCTGGTCCTCACTCTTGGAAAGAAGCAGGTGGAGAGAAGGTGAAGTGGCAGAATGATGCTGAGCAGGAGCAGGGTGAGGTGGTGGTAAGCCACCGGGCACACCTGCACTGCACTGCACTGCACTGCACTGCACTGCTGGGTCTGGCTGCCTGGAACTCACGTCATCCCCAGCCCTGCCCTGGCTGCTCACCTCGCTTTCCCTTGCATATGCCAGGTGAGTCTGCTTAGCTGTGATGGCCAGGGTAATTGGGGTTGATTGGCAAGTGTCTGGAGGGAGCTGTGGTCATTATAGCATCTTCACAGTTTGTCAGAAAGGGCCTCTGGATGCCACTGGGGTGAGACAGGATTTGCTTTGCCTGAACCCAGGAGGGCATTCAGTGACTTCGCTTTGGCTTTTGGCTTTGCTCAGCCCTGTGCCTCCCTCTGGTAGCTCGCTCCCTGACATTCTTCTAATCCTCCCACTGCCTCTTATCCCTGTGACATGCTTTCTTCTCAACATGCACTGCTCTGATGGAACAGTGAATGCACCTTTTGTGCTCGTGGCTTTGATTCTGTAGGATGTCCTACCAGGAGAAGGCCTCTTGGCAAGGTCTCATTGAGCACCCTTCCCCACTCCTTGCCCAAGAGCATGGGTGAGCAGCAGGGAAGCATAATCTGAGCGTCATTTCACCAGGATTCCTCCTTGGATGCCCCCAGCTGATGCCTTTTGGTTTCCTTCTCTGCCCTGGTCTCGTCATAAAGATGAGTGGGGAAGAGAAAAGGCCTTTCAGGGCCCACACCTGGCACTCATGAATATTTCATGTTCCTAGCTTTTCTTCCCCTTGAAGAGCAAAACCTTTTCATATTTGATGCCCTGGAAGCCTGTTTGCTTGCTGAATGTTGCTTCATCAATGCTCTCCCTTCCTGATTTTCCTCCAGACTGCTCAAGACCCTTTTCCTTTCTCTTCTCAGGGAATGTCTCCCTTTTTCAAAGGCTGCTTCAGAAAAGGTCATTGTCCCTTTCATTTTCCCTCCTTGCTGTGAGCCAGCATGGCTTCTGCTCTGCCAGTGACAGAGGACAAATGGGGATGTGGGGAAAGGCAGCAGTGGCGGTGGGGGGGAGGCTGGGAGATGTGCACATGTACGCTGCAGAGCAGTGCAGAGGCAGAGAAGAGATGTAGGCACAGCAAGAGAGAAGTAAAGGGGCAGAGAGGCAGAAGGAAGGAAGGAGGCAGCAGCAAGACTTAGCAGAAAAACCAGCTTTCCAGTACATTCCAGAAGTTGTCATGCAAGATGCACCAGTGTTGCTGTGGATGGTGGTTTTTCTGGTGAAGGCCCCCTGGAAAAGAGAAGCATCCCAGTTCTCCAGGGCAGGATGCTCCCAAAGCTGCACTGAGAAATATGCTTTCTCCCATTTCCAGTATCCCACAGCTGCTTTAGAGACCTTGTTATCTCAGCCACCAGAGTCTGCAGTAAATCATCAGCCTCTATTCTTGCACTTTTCAGCCTTGCTCCTGCTCTCTCCCACACCTTGTGCGTGCTTGAAGAACCAGGGACTCTTTGCACCCTGCTGCCAGTCAGGCTGTGCAGACCACGAAACACACTGCTGTATGGGTCCTGCCAGAGTGGGGGCCACCCCCTCCTGCCCATGAAAGCATTCAGGCACCTGCCTGTGAGGGTCCTTCCTTGGATACCACCAGCAAATCCACTGGTGTGCCTGCTGCACCAACCCATCCCTTCCCGGGTCAATGGAACTACAAAGCCCCAGCAATGGACAGACCCACACAGGGCTGCTGGTTCAAGGCGGGACTGGGAGGCTGTGAGGGCTTCCTCCCAAAGTATCCTTTGGAGCTGACAGAGGTGCAGGAGGGATACTGCCAAAATGACATAACAGAGGTTGCTCAGGGACTCTGGCATGAATATTGCAGGTGGCAGGGAAGGCTAACAATGGAGAGAACAAAGGTTGTATTGACACTGTGCCTTTCATCCATATGGAAGTTGGATGAGTGAGTGGAGATGAAGTACTCTACTAACTGGGCAAACTCAGCAGAGGAGGTCCATTTGATAGAAAACTGATGCCTGTGGTGAAAGTGGGTTTCCAGAGCAATTGCTTAGCGGTTTAGGGCAGAAAACAAAAGAGGCTTTGAACAAAATGAAATAATGGATTGGTTTTAGAGGTGGTTGGCCCATAGGAGAATTGCAATTGATGTTTGGGTGGGGGGAGCTTTAGCATTCTTGCTTTTGGTATAGCCAATCTCACTATTTCATATCCCCAGTCAGCATCAGTGCACACAGAAGGATGACTGTTTAACTGGGAAATCTTTTAAAAAATAAAAGTTTGGTTTGGAGTTAGAAATGGAACCCGCCAATGCCAAAATTCTTTGTGATGTGGAACAGATGCCAAGTGCTGGGGCCACCTCCCTGATGGTCACCTGCCTGGCATGGGGCCGGACAGTTTTTTGGATTAGGGGCCCAGGTACCCCAAGAAGGCCAAGCATGAGGGCAATTGATGTGGTCCTTGAGCTGTGGACAACGCGATCCTGCACAATCAGTGGAGCTACTGGGAGTCAGGATGGAGAATGTATGGGCAGGCAGGATGTTTCCAAGGGAAAGGCAGTCAAGTTTTGCAAGTTACTTTTCCTCTCTTGGAACATGGACAAAATCGATTTTTGCAAATTCTGATCCAACAATTGCGTTGTCTGAAAAATTCTGTTGGGGATGTCTGTTCTATATCTGTTCTGCATTTCAGCATAAGAGCAGCCTCATTCTTCTCATTGTCTCTGCTCTGAGATGAAGCTAGCATCAATTGATCTGAAACACATCATCCCCTCTTGCAGCACTGCTGGCACAGCTTCCTGTGACACTTGGCTCTACCTAATGTACTGACCGGGACAGTTTATGGGAAGTACCAAGCCCGTGCTGTGAAGCAGCGTTAGCGCTGGGAACATGCTGCACTGCAGTGAGGTTGTGAGGCCTTAAAGCTGAAGTGTTGTGCAGAGCATTGCTCCAGAGACTGGCAGGTCACAGCAACAGGCAGCAGGGCACTGTGGCTGTGCTGTTGAGCTTTGTGTGGTGGCAGATCAGGAAGCCATCGGTGATTCATGGCATGTCTGTGATCCCCATAGAGCAGCTGGAGCTGTGCCCCTGCACTGCTGACTTCCTGATATACTGTCTAGAAAATGCCTTAACTGGTGGCTGGTGATACAGCTGGGCAGCGAGGCAAGCTGGGCTTAGCTGCTGCTCCACAGCCTGGCCTTAGAGCTAATGCCATCGTTCCGTGTCCTTCATGAACCCATGTAGCCAACATTAAAGATCTCTCCCACATATCACCAACCTCCACTCCTGTCTCTGCTACCCCCATCTGTCCCCAGAACATTCCCTCCTAAGCTAAACCAGTTGATGTCCCCACCAGGCACTCTTCTCCCTCTCCTTTCATAGGGAAAGGACATTAAGATCCTCTAGTTCTAATTTCCCTGCCACAGGCAGGGACACCTTCCACCAGACCAGGTTGCTCAAGTCCATATCCAACACTGCCAGGGATGGAGCATTCACAGCTTCCTTGGGCAGCCTGTTCAATTCTGCTTCCTTGGGCAGCCTTTCAGTGTGCATGCACCTCATGCCTGCATGCCTCCTGCAGGTACCACTTCCCTCCACTCTCTGCAGTGTGAGCAGCCCTGGAAATAGAGATAGAGCGTTAATGCACAGCATTGTGTGGCTAATTACTTGATGCTGGGCACACAAGGGGGATTAACTTGTGCCTCAAAGGGCTGTCAGAGAATCCTAAGCTTATCTTCTCCTCCTCTTTCCCCTTCCACTGCCATATGAAGTAATGAACTGGTTATAAATACCTAATTAGGTAATTATTTGCTGGTCTACATGGAACATCTTCAGTGAAGGAATTCCCTGGACCCCCGGGGGAGAGATCTCTACGGAGGCGTGAGAGACGACCGCATGAGGTGTGTGCTGTGGTAAAGGCAGTACAGTGATGCTCAGGAGGATTTCTAGACTTTTTCCATCCCTGGAGAGCAGAGGAAAAGTCATTAGCTCCACAGTGAAAGGAACCTACCCTTACCCCTACTTGCAGCTGTGTGAGCTGGAGTACCAGGGGAGAAATAAAACCATACAAATAATTCATTAGGTAATTAAAATAAAAGGGTTTTGGAAACATTTGCACTGGCCAGAGGTGCTGTGCTGACAGCATTTCGGGCTTTGCCTCCTACTTGTGTGCTTCAGCACTGTTGGGGAGGGAGGACTAGCCAAGAGAGGAGAGTGTGGTCCCCATGACTTGTCCTCTGATGATACTGTCACTGAGAAAACCAATTTATGTCTGTTTATGTGTGCTAGATAGGTTCATCCCATCATGCAGGCTGACTTGGACTGTTGCTGCAATTCTCACAGGTTGCAGCATACACTTTTACTGTGATGATTTTCAGTCTAAGCCATCAGAGGATGGGGCTCTTGAGCTGCTGTGCACCTTTGGGACAATTGTCACTCTCTTGCCCTTCTGCAGGGAAGTGGGAGAGAAGGATATTGGTTGTATAGCTGATGGTACCAGAAGTCTCATTCCCCTTTCTTTTTGCTGCTGCAGACAAAGGCTTAGGGTTAAGATATCATGGCATCATAGAAGCTCTGCTGGCTGCCTGTCAGTAGAGGTTAGGACAAGAAAGGGCAACAATCATAAATCTAGCCTGATTTGGGCAGTAATTAATTTCTGACACTCTGCTTTTATCTTCATGTGGCTTTTTGTGTGTGTTCTATTTTTTCTTTTCCTTCCTTTTCTCCTTTTCTCCCTTTCTCTATTCCTGCACCCCACACTTGCTCCTTTTGGTTCTCTTCTCCCCCTGCAGGCATGCGCATCCTTGTGAACTTGCTCCTGGACACCTTGCCTATGCTGGGGAACGTTCTTCTTCTCTGCTTCTTTGTCTTCTTCATCTTCGGCATTATTGGGGTGCAGCTGTGGGCTGGGCTGCTTCGCAACCGCTGCTTCATGGAGGAGAACTTCACAATGTGAGTGCCTGGGAGACGATGTCTCCTTCCTTTCTTCCAGGGACATTCTTCTTTCCCCTTCCCTGCTCTCTTGTCTTCTGCTGCATGGTTCTTTGGCTGTTAGAAGAGGTATCCCACAGCTGTGTTAGTAGAAGTGAGAGCATCTGAAAGTGAAGAATGGCTGCTTGAACGGGACCAAAAAAGCCCTCATGGAGAAATGTAGGCACAGTTCTGGCAAAGAGAGCCTGGACCTCACAGGGGTTGACTACAGGTATCTGAGGTTTATTCTGGGGAGGTCAGGGGAGAACCTGCAGAGCAGGCAGTGTGGTGGAAATGCTCCTGCCTGCCATGTATTCTGTGATTAGCCTGCTGGAGATCAGAGCACCAGTTCCAGGGCACAGCTCCTCCTGTTGACTTTCTAGCTTTAGCAGATCTCAGGCTTTGAAATATTTTCTTAAATCCGTATACTAATCCTAGGCGAGCTATCAGTTTAGACTGCTTAAAGAACCCCTAAAGCTGTAGATCAGTATAGACTGATTAAACAATCCTGAAGCTTTAGATCATCTCAAATTGAAAAAAAAAGTAAGAGTGAAAATATAATCTGCAGAAGAGCAGTGGGGTTGGAGAGTAGGAGCTACTTAAAGCATCCATTTACTGTGTTTATATATTCCTTGGGGAAAAATGAATGTTTAGGATGATTGTCCTTTATATAAATCAGGGGTAGTACTACTTTAATGAGTGTGATTACATCCATGCAGAGTTAGTGTAACCAAGAACTGAATTGGGGCAGCTGGCAAAGTGACAGATACTAGAAAATCTTCAGCTGACCATTACTAGAGAAATGAATTCTGCAGGCACCTGATTCAGCAGTGATGTGGATGTGCTACAACACATATTTGTGGTTTAGTTCCACTTAGTTTAGAATCAGAGACTTTCTTTTCTCTTTCATCAATACCCGTCCTCTTCCAATGACACTTGGTGAAAAAGTCTGCATTGACACAACGTGAAATGTGTATTGTGGCACTGCAAGGAATGCACCAGATAAAGTTTAATAGAAAATTTTAAATCTTCACCTTTCACTTTCCTGATCATTAGCTCATCTCCAGCTAGGCAAGCATAGATGATTTTAATTATTCATATATTTGGAAGGTGCTTGCATTATTGTGAACTTGTCATGAAACATTGCACCCATAATGCCAACTGTCAAAAAGGAGTCATAGTTAAGGTTAAGTCAATTTTAACTCTGCATTTCCAGATTTTAAGGCTAAGCTGTGCAACCTTAATTATGCATGAGCTGGATTTTGGGCTTTTTATAAGTACAGAAGGTTCACTGCCAAATGTTATAAAACATGTCCATCAAAGGTTACATACATGAGCGCATCACGGTAATGCCTGATGAACTTCCTTAATATCACTGCATCTAATTTTGCTTTGATGCAAATGGGGAGAGTGATCAGGAGATTGTGTAATTTTGCTTAGGGGGATCTGATGGGAGGCAAAGCTCTGAAAACTGGGGACTCACCCCGAAAATTTCCTGCTTTCCAGGAGCCCTGTCTTGATGCAATAAATCTGGAAATCCCATACCCATTGCAATCCCTATCCAGGGAGCATCCAGCTCCACTAGCATCACTGATGGGAAACTGTCTGTTACAGGAACTTTATGACTGTGTTTTTTTATCCTTGCAGACAAGGTGACATTGTCCTTCCCCCTTATTACCAGCCTGAGGAAGATGATGAGATGCCCTTTATCTGTTCACTGTCAGGAGACAATGGAATTATGGGCTGTCATGAGATACCCCCACTGAAAGAGCGGGGCCATGAATGTTGTTTGGACAAGGATGATTATTATTACTACAACTCAGTCCGGCAAGAGTTCAACATCAGTGGCATGTGCGTCAACTGGAACCAATACTACAACGTGTGCCGTACAGGCAATGCCAACCCACACAAGGGTGCCATCAACTTTGACAACATCGGGTATGCCTGGATTGTGATATTTCAGGTAAGATCAAGTTAGCCTCCTAACGTGGCTCAAGCTAGTTTTCTTGTTTCCAACTCAATCTTTCTGTGCTCCCATGACAGTTTCTGCAGGGTGGAATACAGCAGCAGGGAGAAAAGGGCCTTGTAACTATTCTATCGAGAGAGATGGGGTGCACCCCATGAACAGTGTTCCTGAAGAAGGAGCATAGAGGTTGAGATGAAGAGGGACATAGAGCTGTTCAAAGCTCTTGCTGAAATGAGCTACAGTCTTCAGGCTGACTTGTACCAGTCTTCCCTTCAATCCAGATCACTATAGCAAAGGAGTCTGGTTTATTTTCATTTTTTGTAATTCCCAGCACGCGTTGCAGATGGGAGCTAAAATTCAGACCTTTTTTCTTTTCTGCCAGCTGTACGCAGTGTCCAGTCCAAGGGGCACAGAAACCTGCTGCGGGTTTTTTCCCTGCTGTGATCCAGGGAAATGAACTATTTTAATGAATTTTTTGCTGTGGGCTAGCATGATCTCACAGGCTTTGACAGTACGCCAGTGTCACCAAGCAGTACCACGCTGATTTCCTGGAATGGAAATTTGGCCTCCTTGAAATGAATTGTTGTTTCTCACCTTCCTTGGGTTGCAACAGCCCTGCCAGTATCTGCCTGTATACACTGAGGAGTGAACTCTGGAAGTCCACTTTGCTACTGTTTCTCTGTTGTTTATCTCTGCAGGTGATCACACTGGAAGGGTGGGTGGAGATCATGTACTATGTGATGGATGCCCATTCCTTCTACAATTTTATCTACTTTATCTTGCTGATAATTGTAAGTATAAGTATAAGCCTTGACGACTGTCAGCATTGCAAGCTAAGCACCTACAAAAACTAGGTGTTATGTCAACACAGATATCAGGGTGTCCTGGGTTCAGCTACAGCAGTCATTTTTTCTCCTTCTTAGTAGCTGGCTGGTGCAGTGCTGTGTTTTTGACTTTCAGTCTGGGAACAACGCTGATAACACGGATGTTTTTAGTTAATGCTAAATAATGTTTACTCTGACCAAGGACTTTCTCAGTCTCGTGCTCTGCCAGGGCGGAGGGGAAGCCGGGAGGAAGCGGAGACAGGACACCTGACCCAAACTGGCCAAAGGGCTATTCCATACCACAGCACGTCATGCCCAGTATAGAAACTGGGGGGAGTCACCCAGAAGGCCCAGATCGCTGCTCGGGTCGGGCTGGGTATTGGTCGGCGGGTGGTGAGAGGTTGTGTCCTTTTCCCTTGTTATTTCCCTTATCATTATTATTGGTAGCAGCAGTGGTTTGTATTATACCTTAGTTACTGGAGTGCTGTTATCTCAACCCGTGGGAGTTACATTCCTCCAATTCTCCTCCCCATCCCTCCGGGAGCGGGGGGAGGAAGGAAGAGGAGGGGGAGTGAGCGAGTGGCTGTGTGGTTCCAAGTTGCCGGCTGGGCTTGAACCACGACACAGAGAAGAAAGCTATTTACCTGGATTTCTTCTAGGAATTTCCAGAACCCAGCTAGCTGATTTTCACCAGGAGTTGGTGGTAGGATCACATACGGTTTTTTCCACTCAAAAAAATGTGCTCAGGATTGATTCCTAGAGATACACATACCCAGTGTAGGATAATGTTCTCATCCACAAATCTCTCAATTTCCCAAACCAGTAGGCAGAGACACTACTGAAAAAAAAAACCCTAAGCACAGAAAACCATTTCTGCGTCTGCCCTCCTACTTGGTCTCTTTATACGTTTTAAGCTCTTGAGTCATTTTTGAGCCATGTTTTATGGCTTTTGGCAGCAAGTGGTTTTCTCAGATCTACGTTCTCAGATTCAGATTTTGTCAGGTTTGGGGTCTGTCATGCTGAATTACTTCCTCACCATGAACAGAAAGGAGCTGCTGCTCTGAAAGTGTCAGCAGTCTAACATAAACTGGCTGTGCGAGATCACTTGTGGCTGGTAGAGGTAGAAAGAGAGAAGTGTGTCTGTGATGAGGGCTTAATAAACAGTTTATAAACCCTGTGGATTTATACAAGTGAAGTTTGAAGGTTGCTTTGCTATAAGGATGTTTGTTGTTGGTGCCTGGAAAGAGAGGTGAGATGTGGTGCCATTGCCTCTTCCATCCTCAAGCCCCTCTCACTTGTAGACACATTTTCTTGGAGGGAATATCCTGTTTCTAACAAGGAAGAATTTTGTTTTTATGAAGACTCCTGCACTTTTCCAGTACGGGAACTGTCCTGGTTTTCGCTGGGATAGAGTTAACTTTCTTCCTAGTAGCTGGTTCAGTGCTGTGTTTTGGTTTTAGTCTGAGAATAATGTTGATAGCACACTGATGTTTTAGTTTAGGACCAAAGTCAAGAGCGGAAAGACATTGGATGGATTATGGGAAATATAAAATCTGTATGCCATAGGTGCAATTTAGTTCTAGGTCACTTAGCTAGTAAGGACCTCAGTGTGTGTTTTCAAGGCCTACATGTATTTGGATGGGCTGCTGAATGGACCTGGCTAAGACTCTGCTCTTCACCTACTACTTGTCCTATGTGATCATGCTCTCCTAGATATAGGATCTCTAGAACCAGTCACCCAGGATCATCTGGCACAGAATCTAGTTTAAATTCAAACTGACATGCAGTGACTTGAGAGCAAACAAGCCTTAATCCAATTTCTGGAAGAAATTCTGCTGCCTGTACATATGGGGAATTGCACACAAAAAATAATCTACTGGTCCATTCAGGACAGAGAGCATATAAAAAAGCTGAATCTTCATGGTATACTTGATTTTTCCCTGCCTTCTGGCCTCCGGCCATCACAAGGGAAAGACAAGGAGATAAAAACAGGAAGATGACCTACTCCCTGTGGGCTGAATCATGAGCCAAGACGGCAGAGGTGAAATAGACCTGTAGGAATTCTGCTTTTACTTTGGGGCTGGAGAGTCTCAAGGAGAGACAGTGCAGATGTACAATTGCAGAGGACGGAGGGGAATTCACCCCAACTCTGTTCTCAAAGGCACACTGAACATCCACTGCTTTTTGTGAGCTCAGAAACCAATTATTTCCCATAAAGTTTGTTCAGATTCCCACCATGCAATACGTATTTAGTACTTGCATTTTCCCTTTGAGCAGCGTGGCCAGATAACCCAGATTTGTACAAGGTGCAGTTTGGCACAGGATTTACTCCTTGTCTCAGACACAGACACTCCCAGGGCCAGGAAGGATTGTGCACAGCCTGTGTTTAACCACTGGGGTGGGCCCAGCCTCCTGTGGGAGTTCCAGAAACTGCACCTCATGCCCTGCTCCAAAATACATAAATGCTGTCAGCATATTTTTGGTTCCTAAGCAGGAGCATCCCTCTAGTGCTGGCTCACCTCATGTGGATTCCCAGTGATTCAAACCTCGCTGCTGAATTTGCAGGTGCTGAAAACCCTCAATTAAACTCTCCATCTGAGATCTTACCGCAGAGTGTCATTGGCATTTCTAGACACTCCCTCCTCATTCTCAGAAGCTGTGTAGGTTTATTTCCATCAGACACAGGAGCACACTACCATAAAGTTACTCTGGAGACTGCTCAGAATAAAGGAGCCATATGCTATATGGGATATTTACTTTGCCTTTGGTGGAGCTATACCAAGAAAATATTTAGCCATTCTGTTACCTTCTTTACATGCATACTGCATCTTTTACAGCACATAGCAACACAATAGTTGCCCTTGGTTGCACAGCAGAAATCCCTTGGTTTTATTTTCTTCAAATGTCATGAAGCACACACCTTCAAGCCTTTATCTTTCCCTTCTCCATGGTTGAAAGGCCTGGGTTTCTAAGCAGGATTGCTCTGACAGTTATACTTCAAGCCCTGAGTCTTTGCTTTTCCACCTACATCCTAATCTTGGCTCAAACTTACTCTTCCGGGGATGGATCTCTGCAGCATCTACTTTAGAGCTATGCTTTCATCCATGACTTCTCCTTCCCTCACAGATATATCTTCAAACACCTACATAAAGACACTACCTGCTGCTGCTCATCTGGCAGGAAGAAGGCTCCACCACCTGGATATATTCCTAGCATGGTTAGGACTCCTGCATAGACGTGCTTCCCCAGGGGGAAGAGTGCTGGCTGACCCTGGCAATCAGAGTGGCCTTGCAGAACGACTTGGTAAAAGCATTTTACATACTCAGCAAATTGCATATAGCTTCCCCCTCTGCCAGAGATCATGGAGCTAACATGAAGGAAGGACTGCTTTTACCTCTCAAGTGTTTCATTTGGATCTTCCTGCTTGAGTTTCAGCTGTCTCTTTGTCACTTCTCCAGCTACTTGGCCATTGGTGTGGCTCTTGGGCTAGAGAAAACTCTTCTGAACTCTCAGGCTGGCATCTACCTTGTAGCACTCAGTGGCCTTCTTGGAGTTCTCTATGCTTGTTCTCTTGCTTCCGAAACATGTAGGTTTCAGAAGACAAGCTGGATATCCAGGCATAAGCAATAAAAATAATGGACAAATAAGTTAGCATCTCCACCAACAGTCAGGTTTTATTCAGTATTGCAGAGACAGAGATTAAACCTTGGGCTTAACCAGGCCAGGATTTGCTCAATCAAGCTCAGTCTTGGGGCTGAACAGGACTCCTGTGTCGGAGCTCTGAATCAGTCTCCTTCTGCCTCTGTCATATGATTCGTCTGACTCCATGTCAGACGCTTTTGGTCTCCCTGTTCAGCTAGCTGAGATGGATAGTTCAATTACGAGCCATCTGGGAACCTTCCTGTCCTCCTGCTAGCTGGGGGGCAGTGTCAAGCTTCGCAGAGCCTGAGAGCTTTTTGGACTCGCCTGTTGTCTTCAGGGTTAAACAAGCTCATTTATTTTGCATTTGATGTTTTTAGCTATGAGGTTTAATGATTGGGTTTAGTTGTCATATCCACTCCTCTCCCTCCTCTCCTTTTTGGTCATATGGTGGGAGATCACAGCAAAGTGTGCCTGTGAGGACAGGGCTTGGTCATGTGAAACCTGAATGCCCCTCCAGATTCAAGCCCAGGCTGACAGTGTGACCCTGCTGAGGGCATCTTGTTACCCTCAATTCCTTTGCTGGTAGCCTAGAGAGAAGGTGTTGCAAGTCTCAGTTACTTGTTGATTGAGGAGCTGTTGGAAGTTGCAAAGTACCTGGCAGTGTCACAGCTAGAGTTCCAGAAATGCATGTGTAGCTGGTGTCCTGCTCCCAATCCTGCCTCATGCAGGGAAAGGCGGGGACATAACTGAATGGGCAAGCCCATGAGAATGGGCAAGCTGAGGGGGAAGAGGGCAGGAGAGCATATCAGAGAATTTGGATTCCCAGTCATACTCTTATCAGTGAAAATATGCGAGATATTATGGACTAGGGAAAATCTTAGGGGAAAGTGAAGGAAACTGAAGGAGGCATTGTTTTAATTTTCAAGGCCACCCAAAAAAGCTGAAGGGAAAATAGGCTGAAACACGGGTAGGAGAAAAGGGAAGAGAAGGGTTTGGTGATGAAGGGAAGCAGAATTAGAACAGCTTTGAAGTGTGTGAAGAGGAGGAGAAAAAAAAACCCAACCCAGCCCTTTATTTTGAGATAGTTTGTTGTCCTTATGTTGAATCTGTCTGGGAAGAGCTTCATGTTTCAAAGGCTTATTCAAATGCTGCCAGGGACACCTCCCCTTTGAAATACTGAAAGCCATTGTATTAAGCTTCTGGACACAGCTTCTAGGCACCTGTGTGCAAGAAAAAAGGACAACCAAGCGGGCAAGCTGGTATGGGGAGTGGCAGGGACTGTGCACTGAGGGCAAGGCTGCTTGGGTAGATAAAACAAACTCCACTTTTTCCATGCACAAGGGTTGGGGTCGGGTTATTGCTACCTTTGCTTGTCCTCTCCCCTTTTCTGGAAGGGTTATATAGGGAAGGACACATGCGCATAAGGGCAATATGGATCCAGCTCTCTGTCAGAGCTGTTGGCGCACCTCAGGGAGATGAGACTGAGTCCTGTGTGGATTCACTCAGGAATGCTCCCTGGTGCATGGGAAGCAGAAATCTTGAGCTGGTTCTTCCTTGCTTCCAGGGGCCAACCCGCAGAGTTCATTTCAGAGCAGAGCAGACTCTCTGTTTTATCAATGCTGTATCGCCACTTACAGCTCTGTGGGGAGTAGGCATCAATCAGGGCACCATAGCTTTGAAAATTATTTTGAACGTGGTTACAGCCGGAATGCTCCCTGGTGCATGGGAAGCAGAAATCTTGAGCTGGTTCTTCCTTGCTTCCAGGGGCCAACCCGCAGAGTTCATTTCAGAGCAGAGCAGACTCTCTGTTTTATCAATGCTGTATCGCCACTTACAGCTCTGTGGGGAGTAGGCATCAATCAGGGCACCATAGCTTTGAAAATTATTTTGAACGTGGTTACAGCCCTTTTATGTATAAAATTCTCATCGTATTGAAGCCCAGGTTTTATCCTAAATGTAACGGACAGATCTCCTCATGGAGATTCATCTGTAATTTCATAATATGTAACACTGAGAGTAAGATTGTAACCTCCAAATCTTTCAGCACCAACAAGTATTTGCTCCATTTTACAGATAGGAAAACCAAGGCAAAGGAAGCTTAAAGGGAACGTGCAAAGGTGTAAAATAAGCCTGTTGTACTTTTTGTCTTCTGTATGAAGAATAGGAGGAACTTGGGCATTTTGTTTTATTTCTAAGAAATTTGGGGGTATGATTTGTGGTTGTTTTTGTATTCGAAATGAAAAGCCTACCTAAGCGGGAGGACAAGTAAAATAAGAGCTAATATAATATGCCTAGTATCAGGAGAATAGAAAATGAGCAAGGAAGCACTGTTCTGCCAGGTAATGTCCCTCTGCCAGAGAGCGTCCCTCTCAAAGTCATTAGTTTTTTCAAACTCCGCTTTGATTTCAAGAGCTCATTCATTTCACCGAAGTGCTATCTTCCTGTATCATGAATTAAGGTGTAAATGGTAGAAATAAATAAAATGCTCTGAGAATACTCTTGGCATGTCCTCCAAGGGTTGAAGACCGTAAATGACAGCCCATGATTTTTCTGAGCAAGCAGAGGAGAAAGCAACCAGACTACTAAACTAGTCCTCTGTCTCCCACTTTCTGTTTAACACAAAAGAGAGGGAAAGAAAAAGTCTGGTTTTCATCAAACCCTTTGCAGATAACTTCTAAGGGACTTGCTAAAGGTCCTAAACCTGCCAAAAGAGCCAAACTTTGGGCTTGTGTTCCCTGAATTTCAATTCAGAGCTCTAAATTTGGCATGGAAATCACACTGAGTTCTCAAAACCAAGCTCAGCTAGGCCTGGCTTTCTCTGAAATCCTATCTTCATACACAGACTGGTCTGCCTTCAGTCACTTTCCTCTCCTCTTACATTCCCTCTCCTGCATGTTCTTCCTCATGCTGACATTAACTCTTCCTTTCCATCCTTTACTACTAGGTGGGCTCCTTCTTCATGATCAATTTGTGCCTGGTGGTCATTGCCACACAGTTCTCAGAGACCAAGCAGCGGGAACACCAGCTGATGCAGGAGCAGAGGGCTCGGTACCTCTCCTCCAGCACTGTTGCCAGCTACATGGAGCCGGGAGACTGCTATGAGGAGATCTTCCAATACATCTGCCACATCATGCGCAAAGCCAAACGCCGCACCCTTGGGCTGTATAACAGCATACAGAGCCGGCGCCAGGGCCACGTGCAGCCGAACAATGCCAAGCTAGGCATGAACAGGAAAAGCCAGAGGCACTACAGTAAGGATTGCGTGTGTAAAGTTGGAAATGCCAATAGTGGAAGTGTGAGCGTAACCAGGAGCATCTCTATGTGCCAGCTTGCCAAAGGACCTGTGCCTACAAAGCACAGAATTAGAATTAACATTGGCCATTGAGCACAGGGCCATGGTCAACGCACTAGACCTGCAAGGTGGGGATGACCAGCAAGAATGGGAATGAAACAGGGGTGACCATCAGGGAAAATGGGAAACCCAGGTCTAAAACCCAGAGTCTTGTGAAGGGCTCCAGGTCTGGTGTAGCAGGGTAATGATAGCAGTTTGGAAGATATAAGTATTATAGGGATATGACAAAGGATTTGACTTGGTGACACAGCAGATACCCCAAAGTTCTCTGCCTAAAGTGAGTTGCTGTGCTACAAGAGAGAGGCAAATGGACTAGAATTGTAAAGGGTATATCCTGAACCAAGGGAGCAATACTGAAGAAGTTAGGAAAGGGCAATGGAGACGATTTCTCTTGATGGGAGCACATGCTGTTGTGTAAAATTAGATATGAGATACCATTTAAATTGGATTCCTGGCCTGAAAAGGAACTGTAAAAATAGTTTTATAGAGTTAGTATTAACTGCTTCCAATGCCTTTCCTAAGTTATGCTCCCACTAACAAGCAAAAGGCATATTTTCCTTCAGCTCGTCTTGCATATTCAGTCTTTCATTTTCTTTACTTGCTGGGAGAAAAGTTTCTGCAGCCTTCATGCGCTGAGTTGATGAATTAATTGATTTATTTCTATTTGATCTTCCAGGCCCAACTTGGAGGGTTGAGGAACACAAACTTAGTTTTCTCACTAAAGTCAGGAGATCTGTTCTGACTCAGAGCACATGGACTGTTAGGAGGAAGTGTTCCTGCACTACCTTTTCTTGCTTCTTGAAATGCTTTGCTAATGTGGCTTCTCTAACTTAGAGAATTCAGCTCAGCATGTGGGTTCTTGGACCCCACTTGTAGCAGTTTAGGCCAAATAGCAGCCCTCATGATAGTTTTTCCCTCAGTTCCCATGTAACGCAAGCTACTGAGTCTCAAGCTGCGATTCCTTCATCAGCCAAAACAGTTCTTCCTCTGATGGATGCAAACCCCCATTGAGCCTAATCACCGGCAGCTGAACAGTACCATGCCTTTTGGTGACACAGTCAGTGTAAAGCCCCTAACAGCAATGGGTTTTATTGCTGGCCTTGAGATGATGTGCTTAGTCATCCTTACCACTAAAAAGCTCAGTTACCCTGTCTAAATACAAAAAGTCAAACATGTGCCCAGTTTCAATGTCTTTTTCAAAGCCTCCTCCTTTAAGCATGATCATTTCTCTCCCCAGGGCTTTGCCAGCAGCACAACTCTCTTGATTGCCCTCCTCAGGACTTTGTCCAGCCCATTGCTGTGACAGCAACCTCTGATCCCACCAACTGCCCCCGATGCCACAGGGTGGAGCATGAAGCATCCCGAAGGCTCTCTGTCCTGGATAACGCTGACCCAGAGGAGGAGGACAGCGGAGCCAGCAAAGAGGAGGGAGAGGTCAGCAGAGAGGACCAGGGTGCCTCAGCGCTGGAGAAGGAGGATGAAGAGGTGGAAGAAGGTGGACGGCTGAAGCTCTGCAGTGACATGTGGCGAGAAGTGAGGATCAAGCTTCGAGTGATTGTGGACAGCAAGTACTTCAACCGTGGGATCATGATTGCAATCCTAGTGAACACTATCAGCATGGGCATTGAGCACCATGAGCAGGTAAGGCACCTTAGTGCACGGGTAAGCAGAGGGGACCAGGGAGTCCTGCTGGGGGTTACGGCTTTGCTAAGCGGTTAATGCAACTTAGTGGAGGCAGAGATTGAGCAATTTGGACCCGAGGCTGCAGCACAGATGGTCCCAGCATGGCTTTGGAGAAATCCTCAGGATCTTGCACAGTCTTTTCTTCCATAGACCTGCACTTAATCCCTTTCGCTGCCTTTATGTAATTACCTCTCAACTCCTTTCAACCCCTCTCTTCTCCTCCTTCCTGCTAAATTTTATCCCTCTGTTTTTCTTTTTCCCCATCTTCTGTTCTCATCTTTTTCTTTCTCCTTCACCCTTGTGTCTTCCATCTTCCTCATCTCTCTCCCTTTTCCTTCTTCATTAGCTTACTGAATCCTTAGTCTATTTGGTTAATTTAATGTGCCCTCTGGGGATGTCAGAGGCACTTCACCAGCATGTCAATTCAAATCTATCAACTTGCTACCCTTTCCAGCTTAATTAAGAGATGCCTGAGCACAGTCTAACTATACAAGAAGGCTAGGGAAAGACACCACCTCCCATGTCATTTTGGGGGCTCAGATGGGTTGAGCCTTTGCCCTGGCAGCAAGAAGTGATAGATGGGTCAGACAACAGACAGCAGGTGTGGGCACAGGTTTGACTTTCATGCCAATAGTTTCTAGGCAGCTCTAAGTCAGCAGCACACTTTATCCTAATGACAGACTTACAATATGGAGAAGGATTGTGTGCCCTTATTTTATAGCTGGGAAACAGAGGTCGTGTCTACTTTGTGATGTGCAGAGCCAGCTTCAGAGGATGTTAAGCATGCCCATGACCTTACATCTGTATTGCTGGTAGCTCTGCTGCACTTTGCATTAAAGGAGTCCATGCTGTACGTGCAGGTTTTGGATCTATACTGCCTGAATGTGACCATGATTCACTCCACGAGTCTGCCCAGATCACAAAAATAGGAGATCGCTCCACTACTGAGATGCTGACTGCATTGAACCTTTGGAACCAAGGTGAAATCTAGTCCTGAACACAGTCTTGGGCAGCAAAGAGACAGGGTAATCTGGTTCAAGCAAGGCATTCTGATTTGCCCTGTGCTGTATCAGGATGGAGATATCTTTAGACCCAGAGTACATTAAATTCTCTGTTTGAGGCAACATAGCGTGTGAGCCAGTATTTGAAGCCTCATATGTCTGGATCTCACCCACATACCAAGCATTAGACCATTTTTCAAAGCCCAGCTTTACAAGGATGGGAAACCTTAATTTGAACCCAGAATGCAAAACTGCACTGGATGCTTCAGTACCAGAAAAATACTGGCAGGAGCTCAGAGGAGAGAAGAATGAAGAAGAGGCTGGAGGGGTTGACTCACGAAAATAGATAAAAAAGAGCGATGTATTTAACACATAGCAGAGAGATGACTAAGGGTTGAAGCCCAGGAAAATATGAAAACTGCCCACTGATATTTTAAAGATGTGAGCACCAAGCAGGGAAAGCCATTGTTCATTTTGTTTTATTGGAGACAGCGTGACTTAAGCATTTAGCAGAAGAATAATTGAGCTGGAGGTAGGGAATTCACTCTCATGTTCTGGCTACCCTGTGTGCAGATTTAAGCCCTTCTAGGCTGCCTCTGTGTTTGTACAGCTTGCAGCAGAGTGGGATCTGCCTGCAGCCTTGGGGTTTCTAGTTGCAGGCTATTAATGACATGTCCTTACAGCTATGTTACCACTTTTTATCCTTAAGTAGCTAGGAAAAGCTTATGACCCTGCATGCTGTTTCTGCTAGAAAGTGATGTCAGCTGAATTGATCATAACTGAAATATGTGGTGTAGCCTGTTTATTTAAAATATGTATAGTGAATCCTGACACAAGAAAGTTAAAAATAATTCAGACCATAACATGAATTCCAGATCCTTTTCAGAAAGTCAGTAGTTACCTCGAAAGCACACAGGCATATACACTGCCCTTTGCTTTCTTTAAGTGTTCCTCAATACATCTCAGACTGCTACTTCATCACCTCCTTTTCTCTTCTACCTGTGTTTGGTTTGGTGGTTTTTTGGTGTTTTATTGGTTTGAGGTTTTTTTTGTGGGTTTTGTTTGTTTGTTTGTTTGGTTGTTGTTGTTTTTTTTCTCCCAGAAACACAAATTTCACAGAAAGATTTCCAGCAAAAAACCTCTGTCCAAAGAGATCTGTGATTTGCAGGGTAATGCCATCCTATGACCGACGTAGCTTCTGTGTCTTCAGCTGCTTCATCATACGAATGTCTCTTGGCCCAGCACTAATGCATATAGAGACCTCTCTTATTTTCTGGTGATTGGGAGATCACAACCCCAGCCACATTCTGGGGACATATCTGGCTGGGCAAGACTGGTGAAGGTGTCACAGGTGTGAGCACTTGTTCACAGACTATACACTGGTTGACCATCAGGTTAAGGGGTGAGACAGACTATAGAGGCACAAGGTTCAGGTTCAGAAACGGAGGAACCTGGGGGACAGATCCCATGTGCAAGTCTTGCCTTCAGTTCCTGAGCTTTGACCAACAGAAAGAATAGCATGAATTAAAATTATCTGTTTCTTACAAGTCAGGGGTTTAATATTCACAGTGTCTTTCTGCCACTTAGCCTCAACAACTCAAACCATTTTGCTTGAATTCAAATAACCTTGGAATCTGGCTTTGTTTAGCTTACGCATCTAGTCCCCTCATCCTTTCCTATGCATGTGGCCAGGGCGGTTTCCTGCCTCCTTGTGCATTTCTTGTGAGGGAAATAAATTTGGTTTTGGGACAAACTGCACTGCTATGAGTCATTTTTAATCTTTAAGCTTATCAAAAGTTATCACTTGTAAATATATAAGCTTATTCAAATCCATCAATGTGCATTATACCATATAATATTCTCAGTATTAAGTCTTCAGATACTGCTGGTACATTGCACAAGCCAAAATCAATCATTTCAGGCTTTGTCCTCCTTGAAGTATTTTTTTCAGTTCTTCAGATCTGCTTCTACTTGGAAATGCCTATTTTTAATATCCAGTGTAGAAAATATTAGATGCTTGTGACTGTCCAGAAGGATCACTTTAAGAGGCTCACTTTTTAAAATATTCACAGAGGATGTGGTGGTGCTGCTCACTTTTGTCCCTTACACAGCTTTCAGATGAAAGGCTGGTCCCAGCTGAATTTCCCAGGCTGCCTTTCTCTTGTAGTTCTTGCATGGCCTGTTGGACTCAAGCTTCTTTGCCATTAGTAGCCAATAAAACAATTGCTGGATAACTTGGTTTATCTTCTCCAGTATCTACTCACAGTATTCCTTTGTACATCAGATCAATACTTTATGAGGTCTTGTGTGGATCAGGAAACGATTCCGTTTTCTAACTACAGCAGCCCTGTAGATCAGTACCTTCATATCCTATAGCCAACATGATTTCCTTCAAACCAGCATTTATTGCATCCAGAAATTCATATTTTACAGTTATTGCTTCTCTTTTTACTATTTGCTGCTTGTCAAAAACATTCAGCAAGTGTCCAAGCCAGCTCATCATACTGACATTTAGTAAATGATGGAACAGTCTCCCTGGGGTGGTAGATGAAACCACATTACTTCAGTCTTGTAAAACTAAGGTATAACAAGACATCACGAAATCCTGCATTGGTTGTGGGGTGGTGATTAGAGTAAGTAAAAGCTAGTTAGTGTGTTCAATGGCTGATTTCTATGCCTTTTCTGATTATTATCAAGTGACTTTGAAATAGTAAAAATGGAGTCTGGAGTGACCTCTTTATGGAATATTTCTCTGTCACGTTCTCAGAGGCAGTGATGTGCAGGTACAGTTTTGTAGGGCTGGTCTGCCTAGATCACATCAATCACCCTTCAGTTTTTAGGCAGCTGTAAATTTACTCCTGGTTAGGAGAAACTTCTGCAGGGACTTCATGGTTGTCTGTGTATTCATGGAATCATAGAATCAACCAGGTTAGAAAAGACCTTTAAGATCATCAAGTCCAACCATTACCCCGACTGCCAAGGCCACAAATAAACCATGTCACTGAGGGCCTCACCTATACACTTCCAGGGACGGTGATTCCACCATTTCCTGGGAAGCATGTTCCAATACCAGATCCCTCTGCAGAGCCTCCCTATCCTTCAGCAGATCAACACTCCCAGCCAACTTGGTGTTGTCTGCAAATTTAATGAGGGTGCACTCAATCCTCTCATGCAGATCATCAATGAAGATATTAAACAACACTGGCCCTAATACTGAGCCCCAAGGGACACCGCTAATGACCGGTCACCAGCTAGATGTGATGCCATTTACAACCACTCTTTGGGCTCGGCCATCCAGCCACTTTCCAATCCAGCAAAGAATTCACCTATCCAGGCCATGAGCAGACAGTTTCTCCAGAACCCTGTGGGAGGCAGTGCCAAATGCTTTACTTAAGTCCAAACAGACTGTATCTACAGCCTTTCCCTCATCAACCAGGTGAGTCACCTTATCGTAGAAGGATACCAGGCCGATCAAGCAGGACCTGCCCTTCATGAAACCATGCTGAGTGGCCTGATCCCTCCATTTTCCTGCCTGTGCTTTATGATCTCACGCAGGTTCAAAATGCTTTACTTAAGTCCAAACAGACTGTATCTACAGCCTTTCCCTCATCAACCAGGTGAGTCACCTTATCGTAGAAGGATACCAGGCCGATCAAGCAGGACCTGCCCTTCATGAAACCATGCTGAGTGGCCTGATCCCTCCATTTTCCTGCCTGTGCTTTATGATCTCACGCAGGTTCATCTGCTCCATGACCTTTCCCAGCACTGAGGTCAGGCTGAGAGGCCTGTAGTTCCCAGGGTCTTCCTTCCTGCCCCTTTTGTAGAAAGGTGTCAAGTCGGCCAACCTCCAATCATCAGGGACATGCCCCCCCTAGACCAGGATTGCTGATAGATGCTGGCGAGTGGCTTAGCAAGCTCCTCTGACAGCTCGTTCAGCACTCTTCAGTGGAACCCATC